ATATCAGCAGCCTGACGCTCAAGGTACTTTAAAGATCTCGTCATTACTAGTTCTGAGAAATTGGGCTTAAAATCCACAATCAACACATTATTTTGGTACTCCCTTAGCATTTGTTCAAAATTATGAATAAATTCAACAAGGGTATTTTTCTCTCACATAAGATCTTATTAGAGAATTTATTGCCTCACACTGAGATGTAGTCCGAATGCATCCAAAGAATGTATTACGTAGATACGCAGTAGCCCATAATATCTTAGGTTGTTGTCGTAGGTTTTCAAAACCCATGTGTTACCTTCAACCCCATGCTCAACTATAATTTTATGCCAAAAATCTCCAAACTCTTTTGGGGTGAAATTAGAATACATTGCTTTCTTAAAATCCACCCAAAATGATTTGTTCTTTACATTCTCACATGCACTTTTTATCAAGAGCCATGAACATAAGCGATGAGTAGAATTTGAAAAAAAACTTTAATAGCCTCCCTCATAGCAACGTCACCGTCAACAATCACTGATATGGGATGTTCCTTAGGTATTGATTCCAAAAAGGTTCAAAGACCAATATGTCTCAAATGTTTCATCTGACACCAAAGCACAACCCAATATAATAATTTGAGAATGTGGTTACATCATGAGAAAATAACTGATGGACAATTATATTTGTTTTTCTTGTCCGTGGTGTAAAATGCAAGAACATCACCAAAGCATTGAAAGTCTAATATGCTTTGTCCATCTGCCCAAAAGAATTGTTTAAGCTTTTCATCATTTGTAGTAGAATATTTACAAATTGTTATGGGATCATTGTCAGCTTTGCCTTGAATGTAGCTACGAGCAGCTCGTGCATCCCCATCTTGAATCTTATCACGTTTCTATAAGTCAAAATAGTTATATAGATTCTTTTTTGAAAACTGAATCCCATTATACCCTTCTTAGTCCTTTTTTAATCGACATATATCCTTGCATGTGTAAGTCAATTTGGGAAACATGTGGACATACATAGAAGGGGTTAAAAAATGATCATGTTGCTCCACAAAAGAACTCACAATGCATTTTGATGTTTTTCTATCCAAGCACACACGGAACATAACTTTACAATTCATGCGTGTAATTGGTGCACGTGGTTTTTTCCTATCTACCTTATCCAAGTACTATTTTGCCTCAATCCACCTCTATTACATATTAAATGCTACACTGTAATATTTTTGTTCATGTCTCGAACAAGATTATGTTTCCTAGCAACAAACCCCTTACATCTTGCATATGTTTGAAAAAAATTGCAAGCTTCATTTCGAGTACCAAATTTCAAATCCCGATTCTCACTAGATGATATTTCATATATTCTTCTAAAATGATGATCAGTAACTGGTAATTGAATGTTGTCTTCATTCTCATTACCCTGCTGATTTTCATCATCTGTACTTATCTTGCAATCGTTATCATCGTTGTCACATATAATTTCTTTCTCATCATCCAAAATAACATCTTGATCATGATCCAAATTAGTAAATCCCTCACAAACAAACTTGTCCATCTACATGACAGTCATTTACTATAAACAATAACAAATACTCCGTAAAATTATAGTTTCACAGATGTAAAAAATGGGAGAAAGGGAATACACTAATATACTAATTATAACGCTGCTAAAGGAGACTGAACTAACACTAACAAAATTACAACAAGTTGATACACCATTTATACATGAATGCTTTTATCCCTTCAATGTTTTAAAAAATTAGTTTAAAAATTATTTAAAGTGGACAGTGGCATAACATTTGGTCATTTCCTAAAAGAGCTTTCATTTGAGTTTTCTCGCAGTTAGAAATATTGTAGAATAGTGGTGAAAGTACGAGTATCGTCTCCACATGGATGGACAAAAGGGAATCAATAATTAATTAAATTCAGAGATTAAAAAGAAATAAAATAAATGCGTCGTGCAAGATATGATTTGTTATGAAAAATTAAGATGCAACTAAACGATTAAAATAAATGGGTTCTCTCTAATTAATGACGCAGGAAATAGGGATTGGTTCCGGGGTAACCAGATTTCTGGCAGATCAGGCCTAATTACATGAAATTAATTCAATTGAGCCTATCTAATCATTACTAAGTTCTTACCGCTCTCGCGGCGTAGAGTACAATAATTTAGGAGACCAGGCTGATCTCTCGTGCGACAAGTTCCTAAACTATTGCCAAGGCGAGCGAGCTTATGGCCCCTTAATCGCTACTAATCTCTCAGCGAACGATTAAGTGTGTGTGAATGTGTCCTAGAAGGCTAGAACAAATTAGATTTCTCTTAATTTATTCTACAAGCAATTGTAATTCTAGTCGTGATTCTAGGTTACAAAAGATATCAGTTAAATTATTCAAACACAAATTAAACAACATTCACGCGGTTAATCCATCAAGAAACTAGCCATACATCATGATTAACCCCTTCATCAACCCCAAATCCCTAATTAAAACTACTCGCAATTCATAATTGAAGAAGCAACGGAATTGGGATGAATATAAATAATTTTCATTAATTAAAAAGATTGAACTTACAAAGAATCCTCAAATCTTAACAATCCAAGGCTCGAAAAGCTCTCCAAATTCGTCCTAGGGTTCATCTCTCTAAGTCCCCCCAATAGACAAATTGGGGGCATATTTATAGAAAAATCGCGAAAATAGGCTGAATCGCATGGCCGCACTATTGACCGCACGCCGTGCGGGTCACCGTGCGGCCGGTGCGAGAAAATTAATGTGCTCCGCATTTCGCTCTGTCCGCACTGCATGCGGATCCCACACTATTGTATAGTGCGGGTACTTCTGGGGGCTATTTCTGGACCGTGCGGTGTGCGGTGCAGACTTCTTAACCTTTTGCTCTCAGAATCACCCGTGGGGCGTGCGGAACTGACCCGTGGGGCGCGCGGAATGCTCTAGAACCGTTTTCTTGCTATTTCCTTCCCCGTTCGCTCTCGAATGCTTCTTTCATCAAATCTTCGTCGTGGACCTTCCGGTGACCTTCAAAACTCTCAAATCTCACTCGAATGCTCTCAAACTCTTCCCGGTTGCTTCTCAAGCGCCGGTGCCGGACTCTAAATTCCTGAATTTGTCTCCAAACAACACAAAACTCGAACCAACGCCTGGTAAACATAACTTGAACTAAAATTGAGACTTGTAACACCTTAAAGCTAGGAAAACCATCAAATGTCGATCCCAACACACATCAAATGCGTGTCTAAATACAGACTTATCAAGCTTTGAACATGCATTGTTGGAATCTTAGTTATGAACCATATGTGATAAAATTTATAATGATTATAATGCCTTACAAAGTTACAATGAAAGTTTATTCTCTTCGATAGAAGCACAAGACAAACAAGTTTTCATGAGTCTATCTTGTTATGCATTCGTGTTTTATAAAATGTATTATATTGTTCTTAGATGTCATTCATGATATCACTTTAATTATTATGACCATAAATATGGTTATTGGCAAAATTGCGAACCTTTAAACCTTAAGGCCTTAATGGAATAGAGAATCATGAAGCCAGTGAGACACCCACCATTGTCTAGTTTTATTTAAAATTCCAACATCCTAAACTTTGCTAATAATAAAAATAGGAGTAACAAAGCAATCTAAAAAGTAAAATTTTTATGAAAGTTCATAAAAGTAGGAGTAATAATTCATGAAGACAATTCAATTAAATAAACACAGTAAACATAAAAAATTATGATAAAAAGATTGTAAACCAAAGCAAATAAGGATTGTACGGAATATATAAGCACAAAACTAAACTTGATTAAGACTACCCACTACACTACCATTGGAGACGGATGGCCAGAATCGCTGCCCACGACTCGAAGATGGATGACCAAATGTCTTCCTTAGGACACCACCCATGACCTCGAGATGGATGCGCAGGAATCGCCGTTTGGCTGCCGCGGTGGGTGGTAGCTTTGTTGTTACCTCTTACAAAATCTGTCAAAGCAGAGAGGAAGGTATAAGAGTTGCAAATTCAAAACAAAATTGTTCACTCCGTGTTTCCCAAGGAGGAGAGCGGACTGACAAAAGTAGTTAACGGCAGAGGCTAAAAGTTAAGACTGCTTGTGCAATTTTATTACTCCCTCCGTCCCATAAAATAGTTCTTGCATTGACTTGAATCGGAGTTTAAGAAAGTGAGAATAAAATGGAAATGTGTGGTTGTGATTGTGTAAGAAAAAGGTAAATGAATGTAAACCACACAAAATATTTCAAAAGGGAAAATGAGAACTATTTTTTTGGGACGACCCAAAAAAGAAACCGAGAACTATTTTGCGAAACGAAGGGAGTATATATGTAAGTGTTGACTATATGACCAACACACATGGCCTTAATGGTACACATATCAACCAGATGATAGAAGGATATTGGTGGCCTCTAAATGGAGTATATAATAAGGGATGATGTAAATAGATGAGGTGATGCCCCAAATAACTACACAAAAGTATTTATGTTTATATACGGAGTAATAAGTTAATAACCTTACAATGGTAAAAAAACAAAAAAAAAACTTACAATGGTCAAATTGGAGTCAGAGATTTATCCACTCTATGTCTACTCTTGAGGTACACAAAATGTGCACACAAAATGTGTACATATGTCTGTCTCTTACAGAAATTTTGTCTGTTATAGACAACTCATAATGAATTGTCTGTGACAAACAAAATTTGTGTAAATGACAGAGATATGTACACATTTTATATTCTTCAACCATTTTCATCCGATTATACGGAGTACATTGCAGTCGCGTTTTCCCGCGCATGTTAATTTATCACTGTTTGGAGGTGATTGGGCGGCGGCCGTACCCATTTCTAGTCGCCATCATGTTGTCTAAGCCACCCTAGGTCCCATTTCCAAAGCTCCACACTTTTTCATTCTCTGTATTTCTGTAGCCACTGTGGGTCCCACCTTCGAAGTTCAAGCTGCACACTTTAAAAGAACACTCCTGATAGCTAGATTCCCCACACCAAAGTCCAAATTAAACCTCCGCACCAGCTTTCGTTCTACCCCATAAAAATGAGGCAGGATCTTGTCCTCGCCGTTCTGACCGGAATATTCCTTTTCTCCGGCAGCCCACTCCCCGCTAATGGGCTGCGTCAATTTCCGATCCCAAATCTGAACTCCACAGATTCCATATTTGGCGGCTCCAAGAAATTCGAAGGTTCGTCGGAATTTGTCCGGCTAAAATACCACATGGGTCCCATCCTCTCCGCCGCCATCACCGTTTATCCCATTTGGTACGGACGGTGGGAGAGGCCCCACAAGCGGGTCATCCGGGATTTCATCGCCTCCATTTCCGCCGCCGGCGTTAAGCGTCCCGCCGTTTCCGGGTGGTGGAAAACCGTCCTCCAATACACCGACCGGACCGGAGCCAACATATCCCGGAATGTCATCCTCGGGTCGGAAAAAAACGACCGGTTTTATTCCCACGGCAAGTCGCTGACCCGTTTGACTCTTCAGTCCGTTGTTAGATCCGCCGTCACGGCGTCAACCCGGCCGCTACCGGTCAACCCGAAAAGCGGGGTGTACCTTTTGCTCACCGCCGATGACGTGTACGTTCAGGATTTCTGCAACAATGTATGTGGGTTCCACCACTTCACGTTTCCGTCCATCGTCGGGTACACTCTGCCGTTTGCTTGGGTGGGTAATTCCGGGAAGATGTGCCCGGGTATGTGCGCGTACCCGTTTGCTGTGCCCGATTACATTCCGGGTCTGAAGGCCGTTAAATCCCCTAACGGAGACGTCGGGGTTGACGGGATGATCAGCGTGATAGCTCACGAGATAGCGGAGATATCGACGAATCCGTTAGGTAACGCGTGGTACGCGGGTCCCGACCCGAGTTTCCCCGTGGAAATCGCGGATCTGTGCATGGGAATTTACGGCACCGGCGGAGGCGGGTCTTACACAGGGCAAGTGTTGAACGGCAGAGATGGTGCCACGTATAATATGAATGGGTTAAGGCGGCGGTTTTTGGTCCAGTGGGTTTGGAATCATATTGTTAACTACTGTACTGGCCCAAATGCCCTTGATTAATGTACTCTTATTAGGATTTTTAAATAATTAATACTCCTAAGGCCTACTATATTACGTACTATACGTAGTACTGCTATTTCTTCTGCTGCTTGCATATGGATTCAGATCCTCTGCCGCACGGCAGAGGTGCCTTGCGGCCACGGACGGCCAGATGTGGAAGGAGGCGCCTCGAGATGCGGTCCACCAAGATCGGTTGCCGTTGGTTTCTTGATCCGACGCCCCTAATAGGCCGGGCACCCTACCTTGGTGCAAAGCAAGGCAGAGGTTCCGGATCCATAGGGTCCCTGGTAATTGATAATTACGGAGCAATTAAAATCACAGTCAAACTTTCTCAATCAAATTTGGCCGCTTATTATTCAAAATTAATACTGAGTAATATTTTATCCCAAGTAAATTATATAATGTGCTTCATTGTACTCCGTAATATATATTATTTAAATGTCAATATATTACAAATTTTATATGTATATATTAATAGAAAATTACAGTCAAACGTCTACTCAAGAGATTGCATAAGTCAAACTGTGATTTTGATTGTGAAACGGAGAGAATAAGTAGTTCAGCCTTGTTCACTTAGAGCCCGTTTGGTAGCACCAAAATCGGCTGTTTTGGCTGATTCTGCTGAAATTTATGATATTCTGGCTGGAGTGGCTGTTTTGGCTGATTCTGTTGATTTAAGAAGAAAATATTTTAAAAATATATTTTATTAATAAATTAAAGAAAAAATTATATGTAAAAATAGCTAAAATGGTCCTCTACAGTAACTTCAGCCAATACAGCCAGAAAAGTAACTCCAACCTTACTTTTTCGGCTTATTACACAATTCAGCGTGCGAAAGTAAAAGTTACGTGTTTGGTGAAAAAGCTGGGTGATAAGCCTGATAAGCCGAAAACAGAGTTCTCCAAACGGGCTCTTAAATGAGTACGTTGTGTGTACTAATTTTGTACCGTAGAATTTGTACCGTATAATTTTGTTCTCGAATGATGAAAAGTATGGAGTATATTATATGAAAAAAATTAAAGTTTATGATAAAAGTGTGGTTTTTATATTTTTGTTATTGCTACCTTTGTTCCATCATATGTGTCTTTTTTTGGTTTGTAACCATTATTATTAAAGTGGTTGAAAACATAAGATGTGAATGCAGTAAACATTACAAACAAATTTTCATATGCCAATGGCAATAGAATTGTTGATATAGATATATAAGTCGTTGAAACAGACATTTGTAGCTATACCAGAAAATTATACGAGTATATGCTTTTACGATGAAAATTTGATTGTTGGTTTATGTTCCGTAGATATAGACAAAAAACTAACATGTACAGACATGATCTGAATTACTAATTCTAATTTTTTTGCTATAGCAACAATGGATTTACCACTGAAATTACTCTATTATATTACTTATGTAACAAAAAAAACGCATGCAACAACAATTATTTGCTAATTTTTATAAATCTAACATATACGACACACTAAAAAATATAATTTCAATTCGATGTCAAAATAAAAGATTCACTTCAAAAAACATTCAAATTACGAATGTAGATGTTTAAATAAAGTGAATATCATTCATGTTGAACAAACAAATTATATCAGCTAGCAATGATAACCGTTGTTGATGGAATATAAACTCTTGATTGCTATATATCCAAAATTAATACTCCCTTCATCAAATTCTTTGTCAAAAAGGCAATGAAAGACTATTTTTGGAACGGGCGAAAAAGAAAGTTGGAAGATAATTCAAGATAAAGAGAGTATAAGATTTTTGTTTAAATGTCAAATTCAAAGTTCAAAGTGTTCTCTAAAAGTTGTTTTCGTGTCCAAACATATAACACCTGAGGAAAACAAAGCAAAACAAAGTTCATAAAATATTTATGTAGAGAAAGCAAAACAACAATTTCAACTGATATGGTGCATTTCAAGCATCTTTGTCTAACTTATTTCGATCTTTAATTTGTTGCTGACTGGGTCGCAGCTCGTAGCATTTGAGTTTATCATGTTCCTACAAAACTGTACCTTGCCAATGTCACAAAGCCACTTGGCCGAGCCCTCTTTCTACATTTTCTATCTAAAGATCATAGTGTCCGACACTTTAATTAGTTTATTGCCTATTATATACCCACGCTTTTGTATTTATTACAGAGAATTGTTATAATAATCTCTTTGTTTTTGCTAGGAATTTTTATAACCTACCATTATAATCACGAATGTTTGAAATTTGTTTGAACACATTTTTCGTGATAAAACAACGAATATAACAATAACGATGCATCTAAGTTAGGACTACTTACATATCTTACAATTTAGCGACAATAATTTTTTATCTTAGGTATCCACATGATTTCTACTTTTCTGAAAAAACGGTTAGATCTCTCAAATTAAAGAGAAAGATCAGACAATGAAATCTTTTCGAAGAGAAATAAAACATAAGATTGAATATTGAATATGGTGTATACATTATGAAAAAGAGTGTCTATTTATATTAGTTCTAAACTAGTTGTTTAATCACAATGAAAGTGGTATTGAATTGAGTATTGTGGGAGACAGTCACTACTTTCAAGTCACCCCTAAAATTCCGATCCTCCGTGTCTTCTCCTATATGCGGCGCCGCTAAGCAAGTTGGCTTCCGTCGCTTTACACTTAAAATTGAAGATCTAAAGTCTACAGGTTTCTAAAACAATGATCTACGTCCTATCGAGGCTCGGCTCTTTCTCTCTCTAGGGTGGTTTCCATCGCTAGGGTTTTTTCTCCGCTGTCGTTTGTAACGAGGAGCGGCCGCCGTACGCGGGCTTAGGCGTACAGGATTTCTTCTTCCGCCATCAATTGTGCGGTTTTTTTCTTTTGCTTGTCGAGATTTTTTGATGATGTTTGGTCTCTGGCGGTCGAAGGTTGTGCAGGGACGGAAGATGAATGCTTGGCCTCCGGTGGCCACATGTCATGGACGAAGCGTAGGGCTAGATGTTGGAACAGAGCTGGATTTGAAGTCATTTGTGTTAGGTGGCGACATAGGAGGCTTGGTAGAGAAAAGGATGAATAAGAGGCAAGGTGAGGAAGAAGTTATAGTACTGTTGGAGCGTCCCCCTCCTGAACCGCCGCCATGGAGTGCAGAAGAGTTTAGGGTTTGGAAGCATCTTTTAAATTTTACTTTTTTCTTGCGATTTATTTTTCAAGATGAGACTGTTTATTTTTCTGTTGGTTACTTTTATTATTGTAAGACTCTTGCATTAGGATTGGGTGATGAGGGATCTGTGGTAACCGTCTTTGGCTCAGTTATGCCCAATTTATTATCAAGAGTTATATTGCTTTGTCAAAGGTGTTAACTCTGAGTCTAGTTCAAGGGCTGATGGTTATCTGTGATTCTTTTGTTGTTTTAACCCCTATCTAAATGTTGTGATATCAATTTAAGCCTCCTTCTTCCAAAAAAAATCACAATGAAAGTGTTCTTCATTAATGAGTTCAAACTAATTTCTAACAGAACTAATACTCATTAATTATCATTTAATTAAATAAATTAATCGAATAATAAACCATACTAATAAGGGGGGGAAATAATTTAAATACCCTAAATTTTGGAGAAGTGTGAGGTAAATACCCTAAATTAGTATATGTAATATATATACTCTGAACTATACACAAAATTTATCCTAGCACCATGACCATATATTGTTTCTTCGATCTTTCACAATTATAACTTTATGGTACAGTGCTAAGAGCATAATTTAATATTTTAATACGGAGTAGTAAACATTTGTGAGGATACAATTAACATTTTAGATTTCAATTGTGGAATAAATAATATTATCTCCAAGTAATCGCAACACTTATAATTTGATATTGGTTGCCACATGATTTTCACCAATATAAACATATTTAATTGACTTTTACATTAATCACACACTCTATATCGATGTTGAGACATATTATTTCGGCCTATTACTGTTCAGGAGCCGAAGACATCGCCCCAGCATGAAGCCCGAATGACAAGGTCAATTTCAACCTATTAGGCCTGTTTCGGCCCTTTGGGCCCATTTTGGACTTACTTGACCCATTAGGGTAGACTTATCCCCCTTTCCCTATAAATATAAGGCTTTCCTTCCATGTTATGGGTTAGTCTCTTCTTCCCCACTTCTCCTCCTTTTCTCTAGAATAGATTAGCTAGCTTTGTGCTTCAATACATGTACTTTGTAATGGCGAGAAGAGTCCTAATGAGAAAGAGAGAGCTTGGACATTAGCCTAAAAAGTCTCGTGGTTAGCGAATAATCCACGTAAAAATAACTTGTTCATACACATTTATACATATATTTACTATATCGTGTTGGATTAAACTCAACAATTGACTTTATCTTATTCATTATTGTATTAAACTATTTTCCTATATGAGTATTTAAACTTTGCCGCAAGTTAAAATTTCAAAACATGTTTTTTTAATGGCAAATAACTTTATAATCGATCTTGATATGTGAAGTAAAACTTTCTCTCTAATAACACATAAAAACATTATAACAACCAACATTAACTCTTGTAAATGCACCGTTAACTTCCTTATTCAATTCTCATTAATGTAGATTTAAACCGTCAAATTCTTGCTCTAACAAACATAGTAACATACAATAACGGTTTTAATTATATGAATTTCAATTCCCTAGGTATGATTACTAACAATATAATAATGTGATTAAACAAAAATTTTCATAGCACAATACATTCCTCCAAATTAAAAGGCTGAATCCCCAACCCCAAGGGCCCCCACGCCCGATCCAATAGGGCATATGGGAGGATGTAAATAACGGTAACTCAGTCAATAGCCTAATGATGGTAGATTGGTAGACTGTGTACCCGTGCGCATTAGAAGTCCATCCAACACGTAGGAGTTGTAGCCACCACAAAGTTATTGCGGGTTTCCAACATTGATCATTATTCCTTCAAATTTTTCATCGGTCAACCGAACTACCTGTATGGATAAATAGGTGTAAGCCGTGTAACCTTGTTCATAGCACAATACATTTCACTATTCTAAGTAACCTAAAACTTAAAGTATCACTTCATACCGACGAATAATTGCCTACTCCGTTCAACCGTACTGATATAGTGATATGGGCGACAGTGCTAAGTAAAGGAGTGTTTGCGGGAGCTTTTAAAAAGTGTTTTTCAGCTTTTAACTTAAAAAAAGCTGAAAAGAGTGTTTTCAAATGACAGATTCTACTTAAATTAATCACTTTAAAGCTAAAAGCTGGAAGCAGGTAGAAGGGTGCTTTAAACTGCTTTTTACTTTTTCTATTACACAAAAAACACTTATTTTACCAAACACTACCAACTTTTACTTTTTCAGAATCACTTTTTTTCTCAAACACTACCAACTTTTACTATTAAGTACTTTCTCCAAAATCACTTTAGAAAATCACTTTTTTAAAGTAGAAGCAATCGCAAACACTCCCTAATTATACTAGGCAGTAGGCGAGATATGAAAAAGAAAAACTAACACTAAAAAAGTTGCTAAACAATAAGTTGTCCTAACACAAATCCTCGCGCAATTGACATCTTCATCTGTCTCATAGCCCATCCTAATCATATTGATTCATTGCTCTCCCCCATTAGCATCAATATACTACTTCCGTCCCATATTGATTGTCCACTTTCAATTTGACACGATTATTAATAAAGTGATTGAAAAGTAAAAGTTGTGGTTGAGATTTAAGTAGAATAAAGTGAAATGATAAAGAACACATATTTCTTGCCAAAAAAGGAAATAAGACATTCATTTTGGGACAACCAAAATGGGACGGAGGGAGTAATACATTGCTCCCATATTTTCCCATTCAATCACTATCCATGCTATATATCTTGTACCTAGTCATTGTCCAAATATTCACGATCCTTTAATTTTTGAGCATTCATAACTACTACTACGTACAACCCACTACTCTCAGTGTTGATGACATCATTTTTACGTTTTTATTTCATCCATTCACTTCTCATCATCAAAACCTAAGACCGACCATCATTTTATTTCCCAACCTGGAGAAGTTGTTGTTAGAGACAGTGGTCCGTTTAAGCCTATCTAATTAAACAGCCAATCTCAAAGGGATTAATGCCATCAAGCCTGTTGTCCCCAAAACAGGAGTACTTGTTTTAGGTTCTTCAATTTAGTTTTTTGTTTAAATAATTCAGGTGTCGCGCTCTTATAATTCTAAAGTCTATGAACTATCTTCCAAATCCCTAGACAAGTAGATCCGAATCTAATCACAGTTAGCCTCGTTGATATTGACTTCAAAAAATGATCCAGCAGGACTTAGATCACCTGCCCCTTTCAGGCTGCTTCACCCACACACGAACCTGCTGCCTTAATTACCATGTCATCCCTTCTCACCCGATGAGCTACTCTGTAAATAAAGTTAGAGAGAATCATGGGGAGTAAGACCTCCCTCATCTCTCCTTGATGGGAATTGAACCAAGACCTCTCACAAAAGGAAAGATTTGAGGGTGGATGATCATCCAACTACGTATACACTCATCTTCCCGGTCTTGAATGTACATAGAGGAGGGGTCGGGGTATGGTTTTAGCTAGAGAGGGAGTTACGTGAGAGAGAAAGAAACGAGGTCATATTCAAGGCCTATATATATGGTGAACTAGAGTGACCTAGGGATACATCAAAGTAATACGAAGTAATAATTAATATGTTTATAGCATATAATCCATATATATAAGCAATTTATGCACTAGTGCACTACGATTATTCATATTCTTTACATGTTATCTCAACAATTGTTTATACATGGCATGCATTTTTAAAGATTATTTATTCAATACAAACATCCAGGCACAGTCGCAGAATCATGTATCTTAACAAAATGCTATTACCATAAAGTCCTGATATCACGTACGTAGGATTTGTAGGAAGTAGTGCTCATATAATTTATATGAAAAGTCCTCGATCCCATAAAATAGTTCTCATTTCCATTAGGATTTGGATTAAAGTTTAAAAAGTGAGAATAAAATGAAAATGTATAGTGGTAGTTGAGTAAGAAAATATAAATGAATTGTAGTCGCACAAATCTTTTCAAAAAGGGAAATGTGAGCTATTTTTTGGAACGTTTCAAAAAAAAGTGAGAACTACATATTCTAATTATTTTTTTGTATGTTATTGCATGTAGTAGTTGTCAGTTGATAAATTCGAAAAAACAACTTTTTATCTCTCTAATCAACACCGATCATGATACACAATAATACAAATATACAATGGGCATAAGTATGGCTGAATGAATAACGTACATGAATACATTATATGGTCCTTATTTGTCGGTGATTTGTACACAAAGTCAAAAGGCAACGTGTGATTTGGACATAGACACCTGCTCGAAGTTTAACATCGTCTCTTAACTTTCCTTAATTTACGAGATTGGAAATTTCAAGTTATAACCACACGAAAATAAAAAATGTTTCGATAATCAAGTTGTTACAAAAGTTTATTTAAAAAAAAGGTGTTACAAAAGTGGTTATGTGCCTTTCCAAATGGTTTTTTACACCAACCTTTTCCAAATGTTTAGGACTTTTTATTATATTTAAATTTTAACAAATTTAAATAAATTCACGATAAAAAAACAAATTTAAATAAATTATGTTTTGGAATCGGTGAATATAAAATGCCGTATATGTTTTATCTATTGGATTGATAACTACATATGTCGTAAATGTGATTAAAATAAGCATTGTTTATAAGATGTGACCTTGTAAGTGCTATAGTAGCTAATAACATAGATATACTAATTTATGCTCAATTTTTATACTTAAGTGACTATGAGATTATAGTATAGTAGTGCGTACTTATTAATTAGCCAGTAAGTAAATTTTGATCATTTTAAAAATATTTTTGAAAAAAACCTCCTATCTTTTATTTTGAACAAACTTTTGTACAAAGTTTGTACATGTACTTAGACGCCGATGTAGGGAGAACATGTTACTCCCCAGCTCAAACAAATTTTAAAAGGGAAAATTTTCTAAATAGGAATAAAAAAGTTTTGAAATTTCAAAATAAAATTGTCATGTTTTTATTTCCTAAGTAGATGTAATTTTTGCGAAATTTGGCAAAAATTTGACAGAAACTGCCATGTTTAAAGCCCGATAATGTCAAATTTGACAGAAATTACTGTTATTTAGAGAATAAAAACATGAAAATTCATATTTTGAAATTCCAAAATATTTTTACTCCTATTCAAGGCAATTTCTAATTTAAAAATGGTTGATTATTGGTATATTTCTAATTTAAAAAATGGTTGATTATCGGTATATGCCGCTGCTTATAGCCCGTGTAAAGCGATAAAACGTGCAGACATTTTATCACACTCATAAGTCCTTTCAATGACATATTCACAAATTAGAAAATTTCATGAGGTGCGAATTTACACTAATTTAATCACTCATTTAACAAGTACATAGTAGTAGATAACATTATGAATTTGACAATTTAATTTAATAGTTTTTCTTTCCCACTCCTTAACAAACGATCAAAGCGATGAAAGCCAGATAGGATCAAAACAGTTTACCATATCAAACATTTTTTATAGCTAAAGCAATCATCATCATTACTCCAGTGCCATGAGGGCTCCCACATTCGGTGAGGTAAGGGGGTCGAATGTACACAATCTTACCTCTATACTAAATTAGAGTCTTACTCTAATGAAATTAATTTAGAGTAAATTGATCATTCTATAAAACAAATTATAATTACTAGTTTTGAAACAAAATACCTATATGCTATAGATAAAAGTACAGCAGTTATTTTTTTATACCAAAAATACAAAATCCCAATAGGCATCAGGGCATCTTACTACAGGGGAAAAAAGGGAAAGGGCAACACCAGACGCGGACGGGGAAGGCAACTAAGTAGAGAATGGACATGAGATTCCATATGCTCAAGATTCTTCTGCATCATTAGAGCAAGGGGTGACTTGCCACTTCTATAGCTCCAACTCCAGCAAGTTGGAGAAGCAGGTAACATCAGGTATCACACCCTCGCCTGAAGTCTTGGTAATACCATTTCCACCAACAAGATCGTTCAATATATCAGTAGGATCTTTCGCTCCTCCATGCCGCAGTAACTTCTCCCTGAGAGCTGAACCAGTTGCAGCTGAGAGTGGATCCTCTTTGCATATATTTTCCCATATGGTTGCCGAAAAGCATTTCGCATACAAGTAGCTATAGTAACCTTTCCAAGTTAACCAATAAAAACATTAATAAAATCAACAGATGTTGCCTGACTTTTCCAGTAGGTACAGTATCAACTAAACACAAATTTGACCCAAACTGTAATACTTTATTCTGGTGGGTATGGCAGGGGCAACTTGTTTCTTCATCAAGTTCGGGCTAAATAACATATCTAAGTCATCGTAATTATATTGTTGTTACTTTTTGTATCAATTAGAAAATTACAAACAGATTAATGAACACATGACATATCCATGTATACCAAGAGGTAATTTTAGAGAACTGTTCTATTGATGGAATGATGGTTTATGAAAATACATTTTGACTCGGACTAAAATCAATTAGTTCTGAAATCGCAGGTTTTAATAACTCAAACCCAATAAAACTGACACAATTCTCCAACCACATCCAAAATACACCCACAGTTTTAGTACTCCCTGATTTTTTTGGGTCCAAAATTAGGATTGGGGTTGAAACCAACACGGCCCGATGGTTAGATAAGCCTTATATTGAGTAAGAAATCCGGTTTATTCTTTATATATACACACACACAGAGAGACACCCATATATATTGCAGCATGTAGTACCTGCACCATAGTTTGTGAAATGATTAAATCGGGTGTGCCAATGTGTTCCCTCCACGTGCTTCCAACTTGTGTGTTGCCTTTTAAGATCAGCGACAATGGACATTGTATCTCTTCCTGAGGAGAGTTGGTCTCCGAAAAGTGTTTGATCAACTAAGGCATAGAATATCTGATGAAATGACAAAGATAATAGCACATAGGTAAGTTGAAGATATTTTAACGGGGTAATTTGAGTTTGCACCCTATTTTATTATCCAAATTGGACTTTGCCCCTGTTTTTAAAAACCTTTGTTTTTGAACCCCAACCCCGTATGAAAAGACAAAAATGCTCCTCCATTAACAATTCTGTTGGCCTTCAACATATTCCTGATCGAGGGGCATTTTTGTCTTTTCATACGGGGTTGGGGTGCATAAACAAAGATTTTTAAAACGGGTGCAATGTCCAATTTGGACAATAAAATGGGGTGCAAACTCAAATTACCCCTATTTTAAGTCTACAAATGTTTCTAGATGCCGCTTTATCGATGTCAAAAGCAGAAAAGATGCAACATACACCCTTGGTTTTTATGCCTAGGTGCTGGATGATCATCTTAATTTGGTTTAAATGATACGTTTTACTATATTTATATAAATACATTTTTTTCACTATGAAATAAATACTTCAAATTGAAGTATAATATATATGGGTTGCAATTTTTTAAATACATAAAAACATTAAATTGTACTGCTTATGTCCTATTAGACTTTGCTACATTTCCTTTTTATTTTGTCCCAAAAGCTTTGCCATTCCCCCTTTAGAGTAACTAATTTGTGATTCTTATAATTTATACTTTCTTATTCCACGTGCGAGTTGAACATGATAAACGGAGTATTAATTATTGTTGGTGATTTTTAAGACCAATCAGGGGCCAAATTGCACCTAGAGATAAACATTAAGGGTGTGTTTGTACCAAAACCCTTTCAAAATGTCTCAAAGTCAAACCTGACGCTGCAATTCTGTTGCAGAAAACATGTTTTTTGCTCCAACCATCGATTTCACCAATTCTTTTGGTATGGCATCACCAGTCGAGTAGTGCTTAGCGAATTTGCTTAGAACACGATAATCCATTGCAAAGTGCCTATAGGCACAAAAGTAAACTTGATGGTAAAATATTTTTCGAACAGCTGGCAACGCATTAGTCAAAACGCGAATCAAATTACTACAACAAATATTCTAATGAATATAAGCCGAAAGTATGTTATACTTACTCAAAAAGAGTTGAAGGTGTTTCAGCAAAATCAATTACAGATCTAGTCCCTGAAAAATGTTGATAGTCCTAAACAGACAATGAAAAATAAATCTCATTAACATAATGAAGCTCAAGTAATGCCCACTAGAGACTGTAGGGGAAATCAATCCAATACCGTTCTTGAAAGTAATGAATGAAGAGCATGCCCAAATTCATGAAAAAGTGTTTCTACTTCATTTTGATTAAGCATCACTGATGTTGACCTTGAACCAGAGAAATCACAAACAAGAGCAACAATCTGCAAATTATCATGCATATGTAAATCTTGTGAATAGTTCAAAAAATGTATGCCAAGATACAGAATAATTTCTAAAAGCTGCATATTTATATAAGCATATCAATGTAAAATAAATAAACAATTGAAAAAAGAATTGTATCTTACATACAGGAAGTTGGTACTCTGTCTCAGAAATCCGACGTCCTCCTCTGATGGCAAAATGGGCACAAATAGGATCTTTACCCTTTCTTGACTTCAAATCTAGGTATAAGTAACCCAATTCACCCTGATATTTAGATTATAAATGGATCGGTTCAAGGCTTCAAGCATAAATGGGTGGTAAAGAGTCCTAAAGACCAAAAGTACAAAAAAGTGTTTTTCCTTGGGAAAAGTGTCCTTATCCAAATTAGATACGGAGTAGTTGTTACATGATGAAACACACACACACACATAAAACGATGCAAAGGTGCATATATCTAGGGAGGAAGAAAGAGTTTTGACTCCAAAAATATAATGGGCAAGAAACAGTGGAGAAGTACACTATGACGTAAAATACCTCATCAGGATGATGTAGTAATGTTTTGATCACATCTGGATGCCATGATTCACAAGGGGCTAAAGGTATATGCCGAAAAGTAATGCCAAACAGTGACTCAACCAAAATCTTTAAGCCCTCAATACAGCGTGCTAAAGGAAAATATGACGTCACAGCCTAATAATTGCATCAAGAAGCTAAAACTGCATAAGAATGTAATTGAATAACCGCTATACATAAATTCACATTAGTAACTTTGCAAAATTTGTACAGAAATTGAGAAAATAAGAGAAGTGTATTTAAGTTTATAGAACAAATATAATAAACTCCTCGAAACATTAACACTTAAAACTTTGCAAAATTTGTAGAAAAATAAGAAAAGTATAATAATTAACTACAAGTAAAAGTAGATAAGCATGGAGGAGTAATCAAAACTAGCTTTTGTTGATACCCAAAATCAACAAATGGGACTTGAGGTTCCCATCCATCGTAAATTTCAACATGATAGGGGGAGTATCTCAACGTCTTTGTGATGATTCGTCATTTTTTCTTTAGCCTATGTGGGACAACTTTCTCAGCACTCTGTATCTCCCCACAAGATTTAATCAAGTTCACTCTTGACAAGATTGGAGGACAGAATCATTTTAAGAACTATAACACCCTTGAGTAGAGAAAACGGTCATACTTTATTGCTTTGATGTAAGAAATTACTAAAATTAACTTTTACAAACAAACCGGAGCATGCTATGGGTGATTAGTGTTTGGTTTGGAGCGTTGGCATATTGTAATTTGGAAAACATTGATAAAGCTAGAATTGTAAACTGCCAAGTTTATTTAGAGTTGACTAAGTCAATGCGTACAAAATACTGCTCCAAGACCAAGTCTATATTTGTTGAGGTCAAAAGTTGGAGAAATATTCCTTCACAAGAACACTTAGTGGTGGGTCTCAGAAAAAATCAATTCTTAGAAGTAATCAAATACCGTACCCCATAACAACAATAAGCAAAAACCAACATGTGAAAAAGACAGCCAACCCTTTGTGCAGAAAGCTGAGCTTTGTAAAAAAGTAGGGTGTAAACAAAGTTGTTCCAGTTACCAAGGAATTCATGTTGTATGCTGAAGACTTCATCAACCATGTGTAGTACCCCTCATCCCATGGCTCTAAGTCTCCACCCTTTTCACAACTCTTGACTCTCTTAAATTCCTTGATTGCTCTGAATTCCTATTGAAGCATCATGATCAGCATACAAATTCTAAAAAAAGTGCTTGAAGAATAATTGCACTAAATAACTTATAAGCTTGAACAGCATACCTTATCAGCCTTGGCTCTAACTAGTTTGCTCATCTCTAGCAGAAAGGAAAATACAACTTCTGGGGATGCAGCCATAGATGAATGTAGAGCAAATGCAGAATAGGAATTATAACCTAGAATCTGCATGCAAGCACAATAAATTAATGATAGAAAGAGTTGTGTTAACAATTGTGTACTTGGTTAACAAATTAGCAGCAATGGCAATCTAAGCCTCCGAAAATGCACAATAAAAACTGCACACGAGTCCCATGATACAATAAAAACTGCAGTTTCTTGATAAGTAATAAATATGTAGAATTATAGCCATCCTAAATTGACAATAAAATCCTTTTAAACCCTTAAACATGATTTTTATTATTATTTATTTTGGCTGTCTCCAAGCTTCCCTTGCTGTTCAACAAAGTAAAACAACTTTCTTTGTTATAAGAAGATAAACGAAAAATGATTGGCCTGCTGATGGTGCCATCAATGCATCGGTGAATACATTAGCATGTAAAAAAGAATGGAAGAATCAAAATAGTAATATTTAAAATACATTAAATCAAATGTCATATGCGATAAAAGATAAATGTATCACAGATTAGTAAGTCTTCATGCACAACCTGAGAAAATTCATGGCGAGCATCAATAAGCTTGTCAAGAATCACAATATTTGCACGTGGGGCAGAATTTCCCTTGATATATGCCATCTTCCTAACCTATAAAGAGTTCAACAATTGACAAGATTGATGAAATAATAAACAATGTCACCATCCCAGCTCCCACTAGTTACGGTGTGCTCAGGGAAAACTGAAGAGGATTGAAGATTACATATGATAAAACCCAGGAATATATTGAAAGGGGAGGGGAAGACTTCCAGAGAGAGTGTGACAAATTCCAGGGAAGAAGACCATAGAGGAGAAGCTTTCCATTACATTTCAATTTCATCCCGAAGACTGGCTAAGAAGCATGCAGTTAAGAATGAGTCTGATAGATAATCAATTTGGTTTGCTCTTAGCTTCTCAATACGCCCCAACGATAGTGGTCTAATTGGGACGAAATAAGGCCTCCAAAGATCTACCATGCCAACGTATCACTTGCATTTGATCATCTATTTGTGCCATTGTCATGCCAAGACTTCCAAATTCATTGTAACTACTGTTGCGCTTGGTGGATCTATCTGACAGTGTCTTTTCAAAATTTTGGATGAAACGCCTAAGGTCGTTAGTTTAAAATTGTTGTGAATGGGTTCTTCATGAATGATAGGGTTCACGTCTATGGTTGTGTTTGTGGAGTTAGGTTTCTGTGTTCATGAGGCAATGGTTTGATCAAATCAGGCATTCATTTTGGAGGCGAGTTGATCCAAACGACGAGATTCATGTCATGGGATTCTTGTTGATATCACTATGGGAGTATTTCTATATGGAAGAAGAAATCTGAGATAGAAGAAGAAGCTTTGCGGCAGGAGATAATTCTACTCCATCATGTCACTTTCAGTGGGCTACCATTCCAATGTATACAAAGGAGAGAACTAATTTCATCCAAAAAAAAAAAAACAAAGGAGAGAACTAAATCTATGACAATATTTCTAGCAGAGCAAATGCACATCCAAACAACTCCTTAGTCATAGCTTAAACTACAAATAAACTTTTAGTTGTCCTAATACGACAACTACATTACAACTTACGTTGTACAACAACAATAATGTTCAAAATAATAGCATAACAATAAGACAATAAATGTAATATTCTCAATTCACCCACGTATTAGTAAGTTGTCCAGGTTGAAGTCATATTTATTATGTATTCCAACTAGCATGCTACTGGTGGCTCATCCAGCCTTCCAGTGGCATTAAAGCAAATTCTAAATGGCAACCGAGGAGGACAACCTCGATGCCATTGAATCAACCATTTGTATCATTCAACTTGTAATGACGATGAATAACCAGAAAACACGATTCCATACCCAAAACATCCCAAGAGAAGACAACATGATTACAATGATAAATTGATAATAACCACACTGGGATTAACCTCTTTGTAAAAAAACACTTTTGACAAAGCCCTTTAGGACGAACCCATCATGTCACAATCAAGTGATCCATTCATACGGTAACATCATTTCCTTGCTGTTCACCCAAAGTAGTTCAAGTGCCAATGAAACATTAATTCAATTCATGTGGATGGCCCAAAACAATTAGTTTAAGTGTTTTATTGTTAAGTTGTTTTGTTTGACATTGCTGTTGGCTTGTTGCTGCATCACTTATGTGTCCTATTACCCTATTATTCATGAGTTGAACTATGAATAAGGAGTTATAAAGATATGCACATACCCACTAAAGTTGTCGACTTGTCATCATAAGTTTATGTTTTTCCTTTGCATAAATTGACGTTGAAGCCAGCTGAAAATGACATAGTGAAGCAGAATCTCTTCTTGCCCCAAAGATTCTTCTTCCTTCACAAGTTTCTTCTACTTCACTTGTTTTTGGGATTTATCATTACATGTGTGTGTGTGAGAGAGAGAGAACAAATATGACTTATGAAGATAAAAGGGACAAAAAACTGAATGTGCCTAACTTTGGTGGTGAAAAGAAAAAATTAAAACAAATTTACAGCCTTCAATGCAGTTGTCCCTTGGACCAAGGTTCTAAGCCAACTCTTCCTTTTCCAAATGTGTTCATATTAAACAGATAGTATCTCTTTCCTAAAGATAACAACAAGATCGAGTCATTGCAAATTTGATTCCATTCTCTATTTCACAAGGTGGTACCTTTCTCGATTCCTTTCTCAACCATACCCGAAAGCATAATACATTTCAAGATAGGCTTAGGTCCAGAATTTGTGCACTTGGTAGGTGCTTACAACAAGACCACCAAATAAAAGGCCTCCAGGAGCTGCCATTTGCTCCTGTTTTTTTAACCGAACAGAAAAGGTAACAAAATGAAAAGCAGGTTGATTATGTCCAAAAACCCAAATAAGTGTCATCCATCCAATTTAAAAGAGAAGTTTTAGGATGTGGTCATGTAGGCATGACAGACGGCAATCAAATAGTTAACTACACAAACAAATTTACCTCATCATCTGATACACATTGAAGTACATGCTGCAAACTGTTTGGAGAGGTTACCAACCTGAACCCCTTTTCCTTCATTTGGCCTCTAGACCATACGGATTCCTTTGATGTATCCTTTGGCACACCATAGATAGGCTTGACAAGGTGGCGCCAAGGTTTAGAAACCCGTGATGCTGGATATATATCCACATGACCAGGGTCAGTGACAATATTTGTACTAAACCTGAAAAAATAGTCGTTTAGAATTATATGAACACATTTGATATGCAAAAGGATGACAAATGAATAGCAGAAAGGAATACAATGCTTTGAATATAAAGAAATTATCCATGATAGGAGTAAAACATGACCATGTTTACTAATGCAACTGATTGTGCTTTATTCCCAAAATAGAACTTATTTAGTCCTAATAAAAGAATGAATGCATTTAATATTTTTCCTTTTAAGAGTGGAGTCCTATTTCGGTGAAAAAATATTGATGGTCCTAATAAAAATGTGTTATGTTTTGGTCCCTAGGGAATTTTCTAATATTAAACCAACGTAGAAGATCTTGAACTCCTTCTATCATGTTGACACTTTAGGATGGAACCACACGTCTTAATAATGTATCAAAACCCAATCGAACATAACAAAGATGTGGGTCCCTAACTCCTTATGAGAAAACCATTTGCCCCTACACAGTCCCAATGTGTCTAGTTATGAGGAATATGTGGCCACATGAAGAAAACAATTGCAAAATCCATAAGAAGTGTGAGCAGAACTCGTACTATAATATTGTCAGATGCACTTTACAAACATCCAACCACACTATGATTACTATATTTTAAACTCCACTAGAAATAACGAAGTATTAATTTGGAAAATATGCTATGAAATCATACTTTTTTTCTTGTCCCTAAATTATGTTCGCAAATATTTTAGAAATATGCGTGGGGTTTGATGTAGTGTGACTATTTAGAAAAAATGTCAATTTCCCACAATTTTTAGTCCATTAAAACTATGACAATCCAAACATTAGTTAAATAATGAATGATAAAGTATATATTTAGAATTAATTTTATTTGTAAATGTACAACTATGCATAAAAAGAGATCTATCTAATTTATATTTGCGAAATGTATTTGTAAATATTCTACCATTTATTTGTTGAACTTAAATTTCCTAATATTTTAAGCTAGATTAAATTGTTGAAATAGGATGAGAACATATCTAAACTCTCCAAGGCAATTTAAAGTTGTTTCAAGTTTTCAAAAGGACAAAAACAAAAAAATTGTGTTAGACATAGGGAGTTTTGAATGTGGGACGTTCAAGAGAGAAGGCAAGATGAGATCCACTCTGTCTACGACTTACTATGGTAACATATCAGTATCAAACAAATATATAATGTGCCTAACAATCTCATATGTGAGCGTATAAATATACATTGTATATAAATATTGGGATTTGGTGGGGGTGAGGTGAGGGGGAATGTGACCCCTTCCATTTTAAAGTGACAATTTTGTGGTTGATATTATTTCTATTTCCTCTTCAGAAGCCTCAATCACACATTTTTTTCTTTCTTGTGCTACTTGCAAAACAAAATTGGCCAAGTTTTATGGGGGAGGGAGGGGGTAACTGATAAGCCTTGATGTGTAAGCTTGATGTGTGAAGGGCATAATACAAATCAAAGAACAGATAACATATTAATACCATAAAGGCATAAATGCTATTGAGGAACACAAAACTACTGACTCGACAGGACATCATTTCTAATGAAAACCAAAGCTCTGTCAAACTACAAACATAAATTACTCAGAGATGAATCTGTACTTACTGTCTACACAACTGAACAATCTCTGTACTAAGCCGATTCACTCGATCCAGTTTTTCTGTAGGTGAAACAGTTGTTTAGGTGATGGAAGAAAGAGCATTTGAAGAAAAGTGTGAATTCAGGATAGGAATTGCACCAGGGGGGAGATGAATGCCGCCATTCTCCAAATCATTTCGTAGAAAGCGAGCTGCCCTTTTACCTTCATTGGTAAGTGAAATTCCTTCTTTTTCTGCTTTTAAAACTGCCTTATATATGCTGTGATTTGAATTAAGGTACTGCAAAAAACCAAGAAGCAAAACTGTAGGGAAGTCGGAGCACGCTTCTGGTAAGAGATTTCCAAAATTAAAGGCAATAAGTCAAGTTTCTTTTTCTTCTGGCCTATATTTGAAGATGGTTTAAGATGCCAATAACTGCATTTCATAAATATTAACCTTTTAAATTTTCTTTTAGATCTTCATCTGTTTTTTATCTGCAACAAATTAAATGTGGCCAAGTACAAATAAAGCAGCTAGCTTTCTTACATGTAAAAAGTCATTAAGTCTTGAAGATGCCTGGCTTGCTTCCTCAACGAATTCCCTATGGATCAAATAAAAAACCTAAATGTTAAAAAACCAGTATAAATTCATTCAATTCAACAGAGGAGAAAAAACTGACCTGTCTGGATGTGTATGTCTACATAGTTCGGCCGCATCGATTACAGAACATACCTATCACATTGAAATCCTTCAGTCATATCCCAGAATTATTCTAAAATTAAACCTTGCAAGTTAAAAAATGTCATCTTTTTTCATATGCACTACACCAAAGACATACTGTATCAGATATTTCATCTAATGTTCGAATAATTTCGGGAGCAGGCGGCATAGCAGCAATGTCACTCAGAAGTTCCTTAGACCTAGTAAGCATGATTAAATGTATTATTGTTAACTGTTAAGAACAGAACGTAATTGGCAATTCTTGAACCAGACAAGCTGCGAGAATTGAATGGCGCAATATATGTTTGATCTTTTTCGAGATTCTCTCTTGCGTACCTCTCGATAGCATCATCAGCGAAGCGTTGAAATCCTTTGGCGGTTTTCAGGTGACTGTAGCCGTAGAGACCAGTGTCGTTGATGAGCGATGCTGTGAAGGTTGCGGTGTGGAAGAAATTGAATTTGCAGCTGAAGATAGCGGAGGACCTCTTAATCAGCGCAGACATGGCGCCGCCACCCTGCTGCCGGCCGGGTGAATTGCGACGGTGACCGACTGACCGGTCGTTCAACTTCAGTTAACTTATGGGTCTGAGTAAACCAGGACTTAAAAAAAGGGATAAGGGTCAGTTTGGTCCTCGAAGTTGCAAAAAAGGGGTCAAATAAGTCCTTATATAGAAAATTCTGTCCGGATGTGCCATTTGAGGTGGCTCCCGCTGGAATTTTTTGATGAAATTTTTTGAGCATCTTATTCATTAAGTCTAGTTTACTCATACCAAATTTCAGATAAAAATTCAATCAGGAAGACATTCAAATGAATTCTTGAAGATAACTGTGCCGTTAAAAGCGCTGTTATCTTCAAGAATTCATTTGAATGTCTTCCCGATTGAATTTTTAGCTGAAATTTGGTATGAGTAAACTAGACTTAATGAATAAGATGCTCAAAAAAATTTATCACAAAATTCCACCAGGAGCCACCTCAAATGGCACGTCCGGACAGAATTTTCTATATAAGGACTTATTTGACCCCTTTTTTGCAACTTCGAGGACTAAACTGACCCTTTACTCCTTAAAAAAAATTCTATCAAAAAATCCAACATAATTGCCCAAATGGTGAAAGCCGGACAGAACCTCTCATATAAGATCTTATTTGACAATTTATGTAAGTTTGAGGTCCTATTTGACTCTTTTCCCAGTTAAAAACATTCATTGGGTAAGATTCCACGCCTAAAAATGATTTTTTAAAGAGATTTTGGGGAAATTGTTTAATATTATAAATTGTTATTATTTGGAAGAAAAAACAAAATCTGATAAAGTAAAATTTGATAGTTTTGGTTTTTTTTATCCCGGAAGGCAAACCACCAAAATCAGTGGGGCAAATGGCGGGAGTCAATTGCCGTTATTTTATTGATAATGAGAGAATACAACAGAGAGGGGGTCAGACCAAACCTCTCTCAGAGGCATACCTCTGGAAAAAAATCAACATACCAAGAATAGGTAAAAGCAGAATATATTTTGGGGGTGCTAGACCTGACCCAAAATATAAAGTAAACAGAAATAAGCAAAAACATATTTTTGGGGGGCTGGGCCTAACCCAAAGAATAAACCAAGAAAGTTACCAGTATTTTGTCGGGCCAAAATTGGTAGATCTCTGGCCCTATAAAATTCCTGAAAAAGATTAGGGGCTGATAGTTTTGGTAAAATAAGTGTTTTTTGTGTAAAAAAATATTGGAAACCAGTTTAAAACATTTTTTCACCTCCTTTCAATTTTTAACTTTTAAATGCTTAATTTAAGCAGAAGCTATCACTTGAAAACACTTATTCCAACTTTTTAAATTTAGAAGTTTATGAAGTTCATTTTTTTTATTTTTTTTGCAGACACTCTCTAAGTAATAATATTTATATGACATTATTTGCTAATATTAGTGGTTAGTGTCTAAATGAATGGAATGAGTATATATGTAATGCACATACATATTTATAACTAAGGAAAATATACATATAACTCGTGATCGGTATGAATAATGTTTTGGGAAAGTAAGGAGAAAATAAATATTACAATAAGAAATCGATAATCTACACATTTCGAAAGACTTCTTGTAAACAACATCGGTAGCTAACTAGTATGGTCGATTTGTTCCCCATTTTGATCGCAAATCAGTATCTCCAAATCCTTATGTTTTGTTGCTCTAGATACTGCAACATAAAGTTGATCATGTGTGAACACTTACTTTTTTAGTAAGAGGCCAACATGCGACAAAGATTGACCTTGACTTTTATTTATTGTCATCGCATAAGAGCTCGTGACAGAAAATTATCTTCTTTGAAACTTGAACGATATTCTTGAACCAGATGGAGTCAAACTTAACCGTGGAATGACAACTTCATGCCCATTATATTTCCTCCCCCTACAATTTTTGCTCCAAGGATGTGATTCCCAAACCATGCAACAATCAACTTGTTCCATTGCATAGCCTCATAGAAGGATCAATGTTTCTCATAAGCATTATTGGAGTACCAACTTTAAGGATTAATAACTCGTGGTTCAAAACTTGTAATGCACGGATTTTATTGAGATATTCTAGAACGTATCATAAAAAAATAGCATTCAAGTCTCACTTGCAGATGCTATCAAAACTCAAATATGTTCTTGACTCTTCCTAAATATTCAAAGATGTCATCCATTCATTAATTTGATCCACGATATTAACAGTTGGATCTAAAATTGCATGCTCTTGCAAGTAAGACGGATCATTGACAATATTCTCAAAGTTTGAATATGTGCTTTTCACAATAGTTAAAATCGGATCCTCTCCAGTCTCCACACTTTAACAAAATTTCGTTTGGAATTTTAACATCAATAAATCCATCATTATCTTCACCCACAGTACCATATCCTAAATTGGTAATCCACTTCACAAGCTCTACCAAATTTTCATATTCACAATCGTCACTGAGTGATTGCACCATCATGTTCATCAACAAACGTAATGCAATGCACTCATAGCCAAAATATGAAGAAGTAATTGCAATCTCCAAGGTCAACTCTAGAAGCCTCTCGTTTTTTTCATTGAGAATGTGCGTTTGTGGATGAGTTCCCCCCACAAATTTATCAATAACACCTGCCACTAAAAGAATAAACATTACCATAAGGGTATGTTTGGTCAGGAATGTGAGATATATGCATTTGGTTCGTGGGTTTGAATAATTGTTGGGAATCTTACATTCCTTAAAAAGTGAATAATGCATCAGATGCCCACTAATGTCAAACTCACCTCAAGGGGAACCCATGATACAGAACTAGTGTCCTCCCCTATATCGATCACACCCTACCCTAATCCACGCACTATGGCTTTCGAGGAACTCCAATCTATTATGTTAGCAAGAAACCGACAACACATGTAGTGACAGTCTCCGCGGTCACAAACGTTCACATGAGGACCCCTGTAACACCCCCATTTTTCCTCCCAAAATAATACTTGAAATAATAGATTTATTGATAAGAGACTTGATTTATTCTTTCAAAACAGATAAAAAGTTTTGCAGCGGAAATATCATTAATTGGGAAATGGGTGTTACCGCCACATTCGGTCATCTGTTAACCGAATGCACAGGCAATCACAAAACAAAGTAAAACAAGTGTTCAACATAATTGGATTGTTTATTCATGACTAGGTTTGACCAAGGCATCTTCTACGTCGCTCTCAGGCGCATGCAATCATCAATCAACATAGTCATCATTACCTGCACAAATAAAGTGCAGAAAACAAAGAAAAGTAAAAAAAATAGCTTTAGAGCTAAGTAAGTACTACCCAACCCCGTAAAATAATCAGGTTTGGCGAAAAATAGTTTTTCACATAATACTATATAAAAATAACACACTCCACCAAATTCCGTTCTCTTTGATTTTTCTCAAAATTCACTTCTTTTCTATCTTCCTAGTAATTTAGAAAGGCGGTGCTCAACACTTTGGTTGAGCCCGGTTGCCACCCCGGGACTTTTGCTGGTACCACAACTGCTAATGGAAACGAAACGACTACCTTAAGTGTGCACACCCCCTAAAAGGGATTCCAAGCCCTCCGAGTAGTAAGTCGTCACGAGTAACCGGGACTCAGTCTACCAACTACCCCGCCTTTAAAATTCTTGAATGATTAGGGACTACTACTACTATAACTTCTTCTTAAAAGGGATCATAGATCCAAACGTCACTTCAAACTCAAACTGTACTTCTTAGTAGTAGCAGCCTTAATCACCCTCCACATTTATCCGGATGTAGAAGACCGACACCACGGATTTCTCCCGATTGCTAACTTCTTATGAAAACGTAAATTTTATCTTGACTTTAGATATACTTCCAAAAAATATTTCTCAATCTTTCTAAATAGTCTCAAAGGTATTTAAAAATATTTAATACCCAAAATACTTCGTTTGCACTTCTCAAATACCATAGATCTAATATCTCCTCAAAATCAAATACACATAATTCAAAATTCACACTTAATCACATAATGCATAATAAGCATATAATACGAGGAAACAATTTTGGATTGGCAGAGAAACTTACCTTAAGTCTTGATGCTCCTAATTCTCTTTTTCAAATCCGGTCTCTAAATATTCACCTTTTTAATTAAGATGATATAATTAGTCACTTATTCTATTTTTAATAATTTACCCGATTTTTCCCTTTCACTTTGTTATTCGGATTTATTAATATAATTAGTTATTCGAGTTTATTTTATCTCTTAATCACTTCTTATTAATGAAATCACTTTATTACTTCAGCCATGATTTCTTTTATTGGAATACTATAATTATATTATAATAACCGAAATGCATTTAATTAATCAACTTTTTAATTTATTAATCACCATTAATTTATTCTACCTCTAAAACATCCAATTAATTTATTATATTTCAATATTGTTAAGATATACGGATTACGAACATATTCAAATTACTTCAATTATAGCTTATTACAAATATGTTCGTACTTAATAACTTTCTCATACGATAGTATTATTTAAGCTATTTAAACTAATTCGGTAATTAATAGAATAATCCTTTAATAATTAACAATTTTAATCAAGTCTGATAAAAGGTATTAAATAATTAACTAATCTCAGTTCGTGGCAATCTCTTTAATATCAACACCTAAAAAAATCTGAATTGCATTTGATATTCAAATTTCATAATTTCCTAAATTTATATTAATCAACATTATTACAATTAGTAAATCCGAATATTTAAAAAAAAATTAAACTAACTAACCATGATTAACTTAATCTGATTTTATTAATTTACTCAAGCACTTAATATTTCCGAGTCTGTAATTATGTTAATTTTATTAATCTACTACTATTAATATAATAATTAGTGAAAATAATATTTATCCAATTTATTTGTAATAAAATATTCGTTTATTTTTATTAATCAACCCATCAATTCATTTTAACATTATGTAATTATTATGTCAACTAACAATTAACCAATTTATCCAAGTGATTACTACCAATCAAGCCAATTTTCTCATTAATATTTATCATCTCAATTTTATCCATTTTGCAAATTATTATTATTTTTATTTTTATTTTTATTTTTATTATTATT